CCCCCCCAAACCTTTCTCCCGCTTAGGAACAGTTTTTTAAAAATAGATTGGTTGAAAAAGAACTGCAGCTGTGTTGGCTTTGAGCCACATACACCAGAAGCTTTGACCTCAAATGGTTAATGTGCAGCAATCGGATGTGCGTTCATAAAGATTTTACTATTCGGTGGATTGTCAATGAGACAGCGCAACAGACAGACGGACAGCCGTCTCATCCACTTGTATGTGTCAATGGGCACGATCGAAGTCTTCTTTCTCCCCCCCCCCCCCCCTTTTTGGGGGGTTTTCACTCGTTCCCCAACCACACCTATTATATTTTAAACTGTAGGTTTGGGTCAGAGAATATTGTCATGCTAATAAGATTATTGCCTTGGTCATTTTTGGCCGGTTTTGGTGTTTTTGGTTCAGAAATGAAGAGCAGGGTCAGTTTGGTCATTTAGTTCACTTGGACTAAAGAATAATTTTTTTTTTAAAATCAATTGAGTGTACCAAAATTAAAGCGGTTTTTTTTTCAGAGTCAATTGTTCGAAAAAAACAACAACCTAATTTTTCGTTTTCTCAAATTGGCTGAAAAAGACACACTGGTCATTTATCTTATGAGCTTGATGATATTTTACTTCGCAAAGCGCTTGTCAGACAGCCATACTGACACAGCCACAAACAACAAAATTGGAAACGTCACCCCCCCCCCCTTTCCAAAAACAAAATCAATAAAATCAGTAAACATTAAAATGACAAAATCACCCAGCAGTATCAGCGCCAGCCATCGGTCTACCCACAGCTAAGTTCTTACCTGCCGCAGCATGGCTCTGAAAGTCACAGTCCTGATCCGAAAGGTGAGAGCTTCTCCGGACAGCCCGAACATAAAGCCCTGGTCGAAAAAACCACACACATTAGACACAAGCGAACAACGAGAATGTGCAGTATAAAACAAGTATAAAGACCAACAGTTTCAAGACAAAAAGAACAGAACTACACTTATGTTTCAACATTACAATTTGCTTTCAGAAATCTAAGGACGATAGATCTAGTCTTTAAATAAAGCTAAGAGAAACTACGATTTACCTAAGTGTGAACAGCTTCGGTTCAAAGATATGAACATCAACAATCTTTACTTAACTTTTACTTTTATACGCCGCTTATACCCTTTTGGGTGTCGCGGTAAGAAAAAGACGTCTCTCTGTCGCCAGCCGGAGAGCTTGGGTAGGGGGATGCCGTGGGTGGTTAATGTTTCCCTGACTCCATCTATCCAGGTCTTTCTCGGTCGCCCTCTAGCCGTGTTTTTTATGTAGGCACGTTGTGCTGGATGGTGTGTTGGTAATCGTAGGAGATGTCCAAACCATTTGGATGTGATGTATGGCGTCATTTGTGCCCACCATTTCTCAGATTACAGAGTTTCTAATTTTTTCTTGCCTAGTCTTGTTTACTGCTTTTCTACGGCATCGCATTTCACATGCTGTAATTCTTTGCTCTAATGTCTTGTTTGTGGTCCATGTTTGGAATTGATAGGTGAGTGTTGGGATGAATATGGTGTTGATCATTTTGAGTTTTGTCAACAATCATATCATAATATTCAGAACACAAGACACCTATGGACAGGTAAGTTCAATAAAATAGGTACATTTGATTAAAAATAATATGCTAGATCTTATAGTGCAAAACGCACGGGGTTCTCGAGGCCTAGAGGTTAAGGTGCTGGCCTCTCATTCAAAGGTCCCGGGTTCAAATCCGGGTAGCGACCGAAAAATTTTCTTCTCTAAAATTGTCTCCTTTCAACTCCTTTCCTGCTCTCTAGTTATGTTGTCTGCTTTCGTTTCCACTTTCTTCCCCCACCCCCTCTCCTCCTTTGCCCCCCCCCCTCTCAGCTCCTGACTCTTTCTGCAGCCTTTCTACTGCTACTCCTTGGCTCCTCCTTACTACTGTCTTTCTGCCACACCTCTGATCTTCTTGTAGGACAGATCTACACCTAGCCTTCTCGGACAATGGCGAAAAATCTCGGAGGGCCTTTGTGCAAGTTTCGCACGTTAAAGATCCCTTGGTGGTCTAAAATCGATAAGAATGGGCTTCGGCCGCCACCCAGGCAAAATTCAAAATTTCCTACCAACTGAAAATATTGGGTGTGTCCCGCGCGCTCATATGACCTTACGCAGATGCGAGCGTCGTAAAAACACTTATCAAAACAAAACAAGCAAAACGCACCGCCCAAAGGAGAAATAAAGGTATGATACAAAAAAAGCCTCACATTACGTTAAGCATGTAAATTGATTAGCCTGACTAAACCATACGATGTGCCTCTTAAGTGCTAACAGGAAACAGTTTCTGAATTAGGTCAGTAATGATAACGCACCTCAAGGACTTACCATGAGAGTGGAAGAACATGCATATAAGAGACCCATTCCTACAAATAGCAGTGAGACATCACGTATGTCATCTCTCATCTCGTCATCCGGTTTCGAGAAGGCCTAAGATTGGCAAAATATTGGGTAAGACAGAATGGAAAACTGCGGGGTAAATCACTTACTAAAACATTTCTTGTTGTATTAACACAAATACTTACAGCAGGTCGCTCTCTCTCTCTCTCTCTCTCTCTCTCTCTCTCTCTCTCTCTCTATCTCTCTCTCTCTCTCTCTATCTCTCTCTCTT